TTCTGCCTGAAAAGGTCTTCCACCCCTCTGCCCATGAAGTCCTACTCACTCTTCAAAACCCAAACCAAATGTCTTTTCCCTGAGCATCCACCTGTCCTCCAGGTGGTTGGAAACTCTATGGAGAGGCCTGGAACTCTAGGCAGAGAAAATGGCATCCAAAAAGGCACAGATTAAGAAAACAGAGGAATGTTCAAGGACAGTACCACCACCTGGCTGTGCAAGGGAAATGTGAAAGAACAGCTGCAATTGCAATTACTCATAGGACAGCTAGTCTGGAGACTCCACTCTACACTCCCAGTCCCTTATCTTGACCCTGACATGGGACTGCCCAATGCCACCTGTGGCAGCTCTATCATAGGTGATTTCCAATCCAGTCCTGGGACTCCACAGGTCCAAGCTTCTGGGTCAGTAAAAATAGCCCCTCTCCACCATCATGCTATTGCGTGGTTGCAGAGAACTAAGTCAATCCCCTTCTTCATCTAACCAATATTCCCAGATTGCCTACCATGGGTGAGGCACTCTTCTGGGCACTGGGAATATGGCCATTAACAAGTAGGCATCCTTGCAATCCTCATGAAGCTAACTTTAAAGTGGAGGGGAGACTAAAACTAACAGATAAACCCAAGTGGTGACGGGTGATCATACTGTGTCAATAAAGTTGTTCATTAACAGTTACTGAACACTGTCAGGGTACCAGAGGTGAGAGGGATTCAAAGAGGAGGAAGCCAAAGTCTTATTTACTTTACTGGGGGCCACTCCTAAAGTCTGTCTCCTCTCACCTGAAAGTGTCTCTATCTGTAAGTCACAGAAGTGCAAAGGACCCACCCGAGGCAGGTAAGCCACAGGAAGGACTTGAGTTGACCCCTCAGAGTCCTGAGCCAGAAAGCCATCATGGAGGAAAGGATCTGCAGGACACAGGGAAGGGCAGGACCCAAGAGAAGCTGTTTGGCTCAACTCCATAGGACACGTGGCCTTGTCCCAGGAACCACAGATCAAGGGTAATGGCTGCAATCAAGACTTCCAATTCCCTACTTTATTTAATTGCCCCAGATGCCCCTCTATAGAGATACATAAAATCTTCATCATCACAAGGACTGGGAGGCAGCAAGAGTGGGGACAGATGGTTTGCTAGAGAGCTCTGTCCTCACCAGTTAGGTCTGGGGAGAAGACACCCAAAGGGTAGAGGGAATGGCAGCATCTTGATAGAGAAGGGGCTGGGACAGCACCCGTGAGGGTCTGAAGAAGGCTCCCCACCCATATAAACCTTTGGGACCCCATCAGGGCCCAGGGAATGTGTACCAAATCAAATTCCAAGGAAGAAGGCTGAAAAACAGTGTTGATTTGCACTTGTCATCCTGTGGGCACGAGGAGAGCGCTGAGGATCAAGCGCAGGTTGGAAAGCCAGTCATGTCTCTTGGAATGTAACCTAATTTCACCAAGCTTGTCTTCTCATCTGCAAAATGACATGGGTCGTCACAAATCCTGTTTTAATGGGTCAGCATGACAAGCCCATGGTAAGCATTCAAAATTTTTTCAAAACTATATTACTGTTACTGTTATTGTTATAAAAAAGAATAGAAAGATTAACATTTTCTAGCCCCAATTCTGTGATTTACCTGCTTCCAAGCATGACTCCCATTACCTCTCTAGCTACCCACCACCCTATTTGTAGAAACTCAGGAGAGGTGGAGTCCTCATCAGTCCATCCGTGCCTTTTGTCATTTCTGTGCCTGCACTAGGAATGCACTGGCCATTCCACCACGCCTCCAGGCATCCTAGAGCAGACTCCAATGACACACTTCTATTCCTTTCTCCCTTCCCCTCACCTCTGTGTCATACACATCTTGAATCCCATGAATTTCCACCCAGACAGAATTCCTGCACGCAGCATACATTAAGTCCCCCTTTCTCACCTCAATTTCTTCAAACAGTGTGCAGGCTCCAGTGCCATATTCTAAGAAAAGTCACCACCCAGTGCACACACTGAGCTGCTCAAACTCCCAATTACTGACCACGGTCAAAGTCTCAGGTTCACTTAACCAGTTACTAAAGGCATCACTGTACTTCCTGCATTTCCATTCAAATACCTAATCTCAGTGCCCTTCCAGAGCCTCTGCCCAGGCTTGTTCTCAAGTCAATCTCTAGAGAAGCATTTATGACCCTTATAGCCTACAAGATAAATTTAAATCTACTTAGCAAAAAATAAAAGTCCTCCCTTTCTCCACTTCCCACAGCCCCCTTCATGCTGGCCATTCCAAACACAGCCTCAAGAATACATTTTCCCTATGTCTGCATATGTCTAACAGGTCCACCTCTTACCTATCCTTCTTCCACTTGGGCTACTCCTACTTAACCCAAAAGACATCATACACATCTGTGTATCTCTTGGTAGCTGCCCTGAATTTGACCCTCTTGTGGGCAGCCAAAACATACCCCTATTACAGCGCATACACATGAGTGTGCATGCACACACACACAAACACACACAGAGGTGATCCTTAAGGACAGGCACCATGTCTCATCTTTGTACTCACAGGGCCAGCCAATTCTGGCTCACAGTAGGCAGGCTTGAGAACTGGAGTGCTTCATGGATTGCTCTTCTCCTTTCTGTGTAAAAGCAATTGTGTGCTCCATCCTCTAGTTTCCCCATGTTACCTGGCATCTTCTATCTCCCTGTCCATTTTCTATTTGATGCAGCAAATCACTCCAGGCTAAGGGGACTTCACAGTCCTCATGAGTTACACTCTGCCCTTGACCAAAGACCCATCATCATTCCAGCACCTTCAGCCATATTTCTGAAATCAAATCCAAACAGACTCTTCCCTGTACCCCGTTCCCAACACTTGCTAGTTCCACAGCGGGTATGAAACGACCAATATGGGTAAAGTTCCATATTAACACCACAAGCCAAGTTCTGGGTTGTAATTTTGAGCACATCTCTAATTAGCTGGGACACCTTGGACAAAGGTTAAAGTGGAGATGAGACTGTCACCCTGTCCAATTCTCAGATTTTTGAGATCCACATGGAATATCTAAAGGCAAACTGTTTTATAAAATGCAAATCATTGTACATTCATAAAGAGTATGATTAACAAATTTTACCAAATCTAAACCATCAATTCTAAGATGTATCATTATCAATTTAGAATGAAAACCTGTTCAAGTATGACACATCTGTAAAGATGACCCAATTTCAAGGATATTAAAATGCAAAAAAAGTATGTTTTAGAATTGATGAAATACAATATATCTGTCTCAAAAATATACAGGAATCTGCCACAAAACTTTCATATTCAGCAATGGCATGTAAGTGCTCACTAATATATATCAAGTAAATGAATGAACATCCACTGATAATATTCTTAGGTCAGATTACTGTCTGCCTTTCTTACTGGAATGGGCAGGAGGAAGCTTCCCAGTGCCTGCTCCTCTCCTATCATGTCTCAGCATGTTCAAAACCCTCAAATGATGATTTCAAGTCATATGCAGACTCCCAAGAGCCTGGCACTTTGAAGGACTCGCATAATGAAGCCTCCTCTTCCATCAACCACTGCCTGGAACTGACTGCCTACTTCTCCCAGAGCAATGACCTCTCCACTAGAATATGTCACCCAAAAAGGGTCTTACTCAGCCCCAGCCATATCAACCAGCTCAGCAACCCAGCTTCTCCTCCCTCTGCCCATTTCCAAAGCCAACTGTAGGCCCGCCCACTGCTTTCAGGCCCAAGGCCCAAGGGCTATACTCTTAACCATTCAGACAGCTAATCCCAACTGCTTGTGTTCCATCTAGAGTCTAGACTATAAAGACCTGGATGTTAGGGTTGGGAGACTGCCTTGCAAAGATTAAATGCAATATACACACTTGTCATTTTAACTGACCCCTGGTGCTGGGAGGGACCCTGGAAGGGCACAGTCTGATCATGCGGTAGAGACAACCTTTACTTTAGAGTTCTAGCCACCACCATCCACCATTATTCACTGTAGGCTCCAGAACCAGCACTCACCCTCTTTGGGTCTTTCCATTTGTTTCTCTACCTGTAGGTGGAATGGGGAGCTGCCTTCTCTCCTTCCACTTAAAGGCTATCATAAATACACACACGAGCTGGGAGAACTAAGCCATTAAGTTATTAACACCTTAGAATGAGTTTTATTGAGAGGCAAACAACATAGAAAAGGGGGATATGGAGAGAGAAAGGGTATTGGAAATAAAGTGAGTCTGGCCCTTGGAAAGTAGTTCAGGGATGACCCTAAATGTTTGCATTTTGAGTTGGGGCGGGAAGGCGGTGGATCCCTGGTTAGGAAAGGGGAGCCAGAGAGAGCTCTCAACATCCTTAGCACACGGAGTCCAACTGCTCTGTCCCACTACTGAGGAACAATCCCATTGATTATCTCACCTCATGTACCCCTCCCACCAATCCCATGCCCCCAGCACAATGACATGAACAGTTTCATCTCCATTCACCGCATTGCATTTAACCTTCTCTGATCTAGTTTCCCCGTGCAAAATGGTTTTCCTCCATATTGCTGGCTGGCTCCAGAAAACTGCCTATCCTTCAAAAGCCCTGACCAAGCACAGACTCATGCAAAGGGCCATCTCTGACCAGTTCTTAGGGACCAGGAAATCAAACTCCTTTCCCTGAGCCCCTTAAAACTTCACCCATGCTTTTGCCCAGCACTTCGCACTTCATCTGGGTTCAAGTTTGGTCCCGCAGTCGTCTGCGCCCTCCTTGAGGGCAGGCACTGGGACGCTTCTGCCTCTCTGACCCAACACACCCAGCACAGCGCTTGTCACAGTGGGCACTGGAGAAATGCTTGGAGACAAGAAACTAGGAGTCGCGGGCCACTCATTTTTATTATGACTTGGCCTCTAGTGAGTGACTTCGGGGAGGCCGTCCTTCTCTCTCGGTCTCAATTGCCCCGACTGTAAAATGGGAGGACTCGGATGACTGAGTTCCTAGGCCCTTTCCACAGTGACAATTATGATTCCGCGAAAGCTCCTAGCGGCTGGGTGTGGCCCCGCCCCCTGGGCGCCCAGGAAAACCCAAGCAGGGGACGCTCAGGGGACGCTCAGGGGAGGCTCGAACCCCGCCCAACCCGAGATCAACGCTTCCTGAGAAACTCGGGGTCCCCCTCCCCCAGGACGTGCACCCCGTGATTGCGCAGCGGCCGGCACTTCCGCACCGCGGGCCCTGCGGCCCGGCCAAGGCGCGCACTCGGTGCCCTGCGCCCCGCGCTCCAGCCACCCCGGAGGCGCTCGCGCCTGGGGAGCGCTGGGGGTTCCCGAGGCGCCCGCGGGCGGAGGGTGAGGGGAAGGAAGGAGGATTTGCAACAATACCTCTGGGAGGAGGCAGCCGGGGCAGCGGCGGCGGCGGCGGCTGGAGGCGGAGGCAGAGGCAAAGGAGGAGGTGCCCGGGCACTCCCCTTCCCATTGTCCCCAGCCCCGGACAGGCCCGGCCCCGCGCCCCGCACCGCGCCCCGCGCCCGGGCCCGAGCCCTGCAGCCAGCCCTTACCTTGCAGCGCCCGGCTCTCCCCTGCTCGCTAAAGCTATTTATCCCGGGAAAGCTCGCGCGGGCCCGGGAACGAACCCACAGACAAAAAGTGAAACTTCGGCAGGGCTGGAGCGGCTGCTGGTTGGTGCCTTTCCCCCTCCTTCCTCCCCACCGTCCCCACCCCCTCCCCTCGGTCTCCCGTGCGGTGCCCTGAGAGCTGGAGGCTGACGTCAGGGGCCTGAATTCCTGACTTTGCCTGCACGCATTTGTCCATGTAAGGTATGGGAAGGCGTGTGCCCACTGGGCCGCGGCGCCACACTCGCCGGCCGGGGGAGGGCCGCCCGCCGCGGGCCGGGGCTTTGCCAGAAGGTGGGTGCACAGAAGGCCTTTTATTTCCTGGGAGGAAAACGAGGAGACGCGAGGATGCCGGGAGCGTATAGAGGAGGAAGGGGAAGAGAGGTGTGGAGGCTTTGCCTGCACTGGAGGAAGAGGAAGGGTATGTAGAAAGAGGAAGCGGCCAAGTCGAGGGGCTTCTAAAGAAATGAGGGAAACTGCAAGTACTATTAAGGAGCCAGATTGGGGTGCTGAGCCTGACCATTAGAGAACCAGCCATGGAATCAATACCCTTCCGAGACTTTGCTCCTAAGCCCCGCCCTTTGTTCCCAGTAAGACTCAAAACAAGCTGAATGCCAGAGTTGCAAAGACCAACTTCCAACTCGTCCACTTCACACGTGCGAAAACTGAAGCCCTCGGAAGAGAAATGACTTGTACAGGGTCATACACGCCACAGATCCAGTCGCGGGACCCAGGTGCTCAGCCTCTCAGCGGTGTTCCCGGGGCCCTGACGCCCTTCCTACCCCTGAGTAGCGAAGCTGGACAGATGTCAGCAGCAACTCAGACCACCCTGCAAAGATATCTCGAACTTCCGTGGCCCTGGAGTCAGTTCCTGGAAGGTTCTGATCGACTGTGAGCCCTGAATAGCAGTGGTGATCAGTTGCTTCAGTGCAGCTTCCTCTGGTGCTCAAATAAAGGAACCCCTGGACCGTAAGGTTTACTTCTCAGCCCTATCCTAAAGCCCAAAAAGCTTACTCTGTGCTTACAGCTTCAAAAAGTTCTGCGAACTCGGTGAATAAATTTGGTGAGATTTTTTGGGCCAAGAAAAAAGTGCAGAAATATATATTGCACTATTTATTGAGTACCTTCTTAAAGCAAGGTGCTTGAATTCAGGCATTCCTGGGTTCAAATTACTTAATCCTTTCAATTTCTCATCTACACATATGAAAAGAACGGGTGTGAATAAAGGTAAACTTGTTCTTGAAAGGTTCAGGTCTGATTTTTTTCCTCTGCCATTTGTAAATGTGAGCAACCGTGAGAACCACCATTTACTTTTTCAAGGGGTTAAATGTGCAGCAGTCACTGCCTGGAAGGCACACCAATGCCTAGGACCTTGTTTCCTTGTGTTTTTAGCCTACTGATACCTAAAGCAATAATCCCACCCCTCAGCACATCATAAAAGCACTTTTTCGCTAGTGTATTAGATCTTCATGTTACATAGGACAAATTGTAGTCTTACTTTTACATTGAGGAAAAAACTCAGGTTAAGTGACTTGCCCAAGAAAATAAAAGACCAAGGGAACACCTGATCTCCCTGTCCCATCCAGGTCCCCTGACTAATCTCATGATTTTTTTCCGCCAGCTCTGAGACCCTGACCTCCAGCAGGACCTAATTCTCACTTAGAAATGCTGAGAATACACTGTGAGTTACCTATTCATGAAACTTGCAAAACTTGGCTCTCCTGGAATTTCTTGGGATTTTTTTTAAATCAAGAAGTAAATAAATGTAGAAACACATATTATTACACTGACCATTTATTGAGCATGAATTCAGACATTCCAAATTACTTAAATTCAAATTATTTAATCTCTCAATTTCTCATCCACACATACAAAAATATAAAAAGAGTGGCAAACAAAGTCAAGAGTTCCTATTTCGTACAACAATGAAAATTCTTCTCTTGGCAGCTAATATAGTTTGAAATAGAAAATATGTGATCTTAAAGAGAGTTGGTTCTGGGGTTTTAAAAAGATCATATCCTATTACAACACAAACCAATTTTATTGTCAGCATTTTAGCAAACCCATGTTCTGAGTGCTAGTGTTTAAAATGAAAAAATCCTGGATCACACAAAGTGAGAATGGATTCACCCAATCCTCAACAGCTATAACGGGACTTGACCAACATGTCTTCCACCCCCCCAACCCCCAGTAACCCACTTATAAAGAATAATAGGGTTCTAATGAGGATTAATAAGCTTTAATAAGGTATAATTAGAGTCATTCATTTCCTCCATCATACACATTATAAGACTGCTGTGTTGGATCCAGTAATTATGTTAAAACTGTTGTATGGGTGTGTTGGGGGAGGATCACTATTTTTTCTGCTGAAATATTTATGAATTGCTCAGGTAGGCACAGTGTTAACACAAGCATTATATAAATTTAATCACATGAGAGATTTCAACTCATGTGGCACTCATCAGGAGTGTAAGAGGCAAAGTCATAAATTGGATCCTTGGCAAAGCGCACGCAATGTTATCATCCGAACAACCCCGGATCACAAGCCTCACGCTCAGGCGCTGATCTGGCTTCCTTTGTATTCTCACTCTTCTCACCATCCCTGTTAAACCTGCTGGGTGCAGGGGCTTGGGAAAGAAGGAAAAGGTGTGTAAATTTGCAGGCTTCATGCTAGAGAAATACAGGCTTACCAATTCAGAGATGGAAAGCATGGGATTTCAGGTGGGTCAGAGGTCACGAAATCCAAGGATTACACACTGGTGGCATTCATGTCAGTCTTTTGTGCATATGATAGGATAGGCAGAAGATTCTTCATATACATTTCATTTAACCCTAAGAAAACCCTTCTGGGTTGACATTTTTTCTCTGTTTTGCCAATGAGGAAAGTAAAGCCCAGGGAGGAGGATAAGTAGCCTGTTCTCAGTGCAGAGCTAGCAAGTAGGTAAGCTGAGATACCCCACTGAGCCCGGTTGGCCTGGCGCTCTGCTCACTTACTGCTGGGTTACCATCTGGTCTCAGATGGAACACTCCAATGTGCAGAATTTCTAATGTCCCACAGCTAACAAAGGGGAAAAACTGTGAAGAGGCTACTGGAGAAATAATAAGGACAAGAGGGGCGTGGAAGGCAGAAGGTCAGTACAAACCTGATGTTGCCACTTCCTAGCTTAAAGCCCATCAGGACAAACTGCTGTGGTTTGCACAGCCCTTCATCTTCATTTCTGCCAGTCCTTCATGTGCCCACACCCTCCAGCCAATTGAAGTTCTAGTGGTTTCCCAAAACTTCTTACCGATCTCTTATCTGCCTTTACATGGGTTCCCCTTTGTCCCAGGAACCCTGTTCCTTCTCCAGCTATCTGGCAACCCTTACTTTACCTAATCAAACCCTGCTTAAATACCACCTCCTCTAAAAGGCATTCCTGCCTCTACAGCCACCTCCAGTGGATGCATTGCCCCTACAGACTGCTCCGGCCACACTGCCTACCCTCAATTCCTGTGCCTCTGGACCGCGTGTTGGTCACCTTGTCTTTCTGTGCTACTGGACTGAGAGTCTAATTCATCTCTGAGTACTTAATACAGTGCCTGCCTTTATCATGGTGGGCATTCAAGTGTGGTTTTTCTTCTTCTTCTTCTTCTTCCTGCTCCTGCTTAAAGGCAGAAAAAGATAGAGATGGTACAAGGCCTTGGCATTCAAATAAAATCAAATACTTCCTCAAGAGGTGAGGCCTGGATGTAAGCAGACCAGCGGAAAAGAGAGGAAGAGGCAAAGGAGCCTGAGCATTTGGAAGCAGAACCAGGACTGTCATAGTGGGTGGAGGGACAAAGGAGAAGATGGTCAGTAGTCCTTTCCTTGCCCTAAGACTTCTGTGTAACATCATGGCAAGTCACTTCCTCTCTGGTCTCAGTTTCTTTATTCATACAATTAAGTCCTTAGGCTTGATGTGCCCCAATACTCTCCCAGCTTTTCAGTTTGATGCTACTTTCAAGCTGTTGACTAAATTCATCTTCCCAAAGAACATCATGTCACATTACACTCTGAAACTCATAAAGATTCCATGATATCAAACCAAATGAAGTCCCAACTCTTCTGCTCCTTTCGGCTTCCATGATCAAGCCTTAATGTTCTTTTCCAACTGTAGAATGTACCTCCAACTCCCCACTGTCACCACCATCACCACCACACCACCACACACACAAACACACACACACACACACACACATACACACACAGTGCTTCCTATACTTCTCCCCTCTGGCTTTTTCTTATTTAGTTTTCTCCTCCTGAAGTACTTTCCCAGGCTCAGCTCCACAGATGTAGATTTTATCTGTCCTGCCATCTTCCCCTCAAGGAATCTTCTCTCTGTTGCCCATTCCCTCCAGACCTTCTCCTTTGATATGAAAATGATTTCTCTGTCTTCTAGGAGAGGTACCTACTTGGTTGTCCCATTGCTTTTTAGTTTTTCACAGGTGTGTTTGATCTCCTTCCAAACATAAAACCTTTTATAGAAAGCTTCATAACTTTCTCCTCCCCACCTTAGGCAGTACGTAGGACTTATAACCAAATGTTACCCAGTGAGTGAGTGAGAGCATGAATCCTTCACCACAGCTAGAAAAACAATACAATCGATCCCCTCTCTAGCCAAGATTAATCCTGTTATCTTAGACCATGACTGTGGGCAAGACCCACCCTGGACGGAATGAGGGAGGAGAGGATTTGTATTTGACATCCATTAAAATGTACCCTGAGAACACTGTTCTAGTCCTCACATTTACCCTACATAACTTTCATAAATTACCTAAAGATAATGTTCTGTTATAAGTGCAGACATGGAACTAAATAAAGCCATGGCTATTTTTCAACTTTACATCAAATATTCTTTAAAAACAAAAATACCCAAGATCATATTTGACCAGAAAGAATGAAACACAACTGACAGTTTTAATATTTGATTTAATATTTGAGGTATCCTGCTCTCTAGTTGGATTTAGTCCCAAGACTATTGTACCTGTGTGATTCAAACAAAACCTTGGTCTGATCACATAAGCATCAGCCTTTTGTGAAGAGATGAAAAACTTGGTATGGTGGACAGTAGCAGTGGGCTTTTAGTAAAGGGAACATTAAAGATAATGAAGCAGTTTACCAAGGGTTTGTTTACTCTCTGTTCTTCACACCTTATCATATAAAAAATGATCTCAATATAAGAAAAGAAATATATCATCAGACTTCCTAAGAGAATGTTTTCTCCCTTTTATGAGTACTAGGTCTTTTCTTGAGGGAAAAATGTGTCACAAGCTACTTTCTTTATTGGTTTAGAGGAATCGAGTCAATGTGGGTGAATAATAGTATCTGCCCATAAGCTTCAGCAGTTTTACCCAGTTTTTAAGCCCAGTTTTTAGCGAGTGGTTGTAGAGTAAACACTGTCTGCATTTTGCCAGGTCAGAGAATCAGATGATCTGAATGTATTTTGGCCTATCCCAACGTAGCCCCCTGAACAAGTTTGCCAGCTTTTGACCTCAGGTAAGCCCAGAACATGGGAGAATTGTGACTATGCCTAGAAGCCAATGAAACTTCAGAGATCAGGCAAGTTCAGTCTGACTGGGAGCTAGTCTATTATAGCAGAAATGTTGATATATGAACCTTTGATCCCTCTTGGGTCCGATACTGATTAAAGTTTCACAGAGGCTCAAACACAAGAGGAAACAGTATACACCACCTCTTAATTCTAACAATAAGTAGTTACTATGTGTACACCACCTTTTAATTCTTACAACAAGTAGTTACTATGTGTATACCACCTTAATTCTAACAAGAAGTTACTATATGCCTACTGTTTACCTAGAAATACAGACTTGAGCAAAACACAGTACATATCCTACATGTAACAAAAAGATTATACATCAAACAAACTTCAACAGAAAGCACTCATGAGATAGCTTGGCAGAGACCTCCCAGTGGACCACTGGTTGGCCTGGACCTGCCACTGCAGGTCAGCCTCCTTTGATGGTGATAAAGCAGGAAATGATGAGCCTGGAGACATACCCGAGGGCCTTTCGGGGAACACAAACATAGAGCACACATTTTTTGTCTTCATGCAATAGGAGGTAAAGGATGATGCCCAATGATTCATGGTCTGTGACCTTGTTCTGACAGCCTCATTGGATCATTTAGGAACTCAGGTAGAGTTGTGTGACAGATGAAGAAGGTCTGCTAATTCTAGGTGATCTGAGCATCTGGAGAGACACGTTAG